ACCTTTATGAGCTTCTATAAGATATTTTATACCATGACCAATGCCCAGTTGGTCTCCTATACATGTGACCGGCTATCAAGAAAAAAATGGAAATAGCTAAATTCTGGTGTGCAATATCGGTCAGCCAAAGACCCTCACTGGATCTAATCCTACACGAAAAGTCAGAAATTCTGCTTTCCCCCACATTCAAGGCATCCTTTAGGGGATAATACAACAAGACAAGCAAAAGACAAAGAAAGACAGATGCAATCCTTTCTTTGACTGAACTGCACTTAACTGCCTTCTAACACTGAGCTTCGCCAAGACTTATGACTGAACTTCGCTTCGAAAAGTTTGTTGGGGTTGAAAGTAAGTGAGACAAAGACAGAAGTCTTCTTCTCATCAAATATTGGAGTAGAGGAATGAAAATCTTGTAAAGTTCGGACTTATGTGGAAGTGTTATGACTTGGTGGGGACCCATTATGTGTTGTGTTCATTCCCTTGACTCCTACGACCACTCATTCCTTTGGTCGAGCAGCGAGCTTTTTCGGGGAAGGGGGGAAACCATTCCCCTCCTTCAGAACGTAAGACGACTTCTTATTGATCCGAGAATTTGATCTTCACTGCGCTTCGCTTCGTTCTGTTAGTCTCACTTTACTCTCCTTCTCTCTTTCATTTCGTTTTCTTTTAGGTAGAAAGCCTATGTCATGGCAGTCAAATCCTCCTAGCCCACTTCCATACTGATTGTAATAGCCCCAAATGCACCTTTTCCCGCTATCACTTTCGTCTTTCTGAGACATGCTCCGAGAGGGTGAACCCCGGCTATCAAGATGGGCTAAATGGTCACGTGTAAGTGTACTATGCCAAAAGGAAAATTGGAAGATCTCGGTTTTAATGGCAGAAGCCAGAAGAGTCAATTCAGCGATTGCTTTTTGACATGGCTCGATGTAATTGACCATAGCTTACCAGAAGCAAGGAAAGCTTTCAATTCACTAAGCGAAATACAGATTAATAATGATTTTGGCGTAGCTTCAGATTGCCAACCTAACTTGAATGTGGTAGTGAACTCCCAAGCGACTAGCTTAATTCTGACTCTCTCTACAAAATGAACGCTTGCCCCTCATTGATTTAATGCGAAAGCAAAGGACTAAAAGAATGTACCAAACCAAGCTGTAGTCGACGTGGGCTGGGAAGTAGCATCTTTGGCTTGGCTATCCCCCCCTACTATGGAGGAGAGGTCTTGGATTCGGCATTAGCGGTCAAAGCATTGATTCTAAGCCAGTCCAGTCTATTAGCAAAAAGCGATTCTAAGCCCAAAGGCGGGAGAATGAAAAAAAGGGAAATGTCAACGCATCCGGGAAAAAACGATTGATCTCAATCAATAGACCCGCTAAAGTTGAAGAATGAGCCGGCGACTCATAGGCAGTGGCTTGGTTAAGGGAACCCACCGGAGCCATAGCGCTGGTGAGATTCTTTGAAACCTCTCCCGCGTAGTGGCGTTTTGATAGTTTTTTTTTTGAAGTGGTGGTCTCTGGTTGCATTGAAGATGAGCTTTTTCCTTCCCCCTAACTACGGTGGTTCAGAAAGAAAGATCGTTTAGTTTGTCGTAGGATGACGGCGGTTTGATACTCTCGTGAACCAGATTGCATCGTATATTACAGAGCACTTTCTCACTTCACTTTTTTAGTGAGATAAGTGTCTCTTTCAGTAACAATGAATTGAGCTTGGCTCTGTCTGTCCTTCAGTTTGTCTTGCTTCATTTCTTTGCCTTGGGCAAGCACAGACCACTCTTGATGAGATAGAGATGGAGCTTGATGCTCACGGCTCATGGTATAGCAAGTTGCTAAAAAGATCGGCGAGAGAGACAGCAGGTTTTCAGATACTCAACCAAAAGGGGAGTTGGTCTTGCAGTAGTTCTGTCTGTCCTCTCTGTGGCTTTTAGACGGGAAAGGAAAAGCGTAAAATGATATCGATTGCTCTCCAGCAAGAGATTGCTTTCTTTGTTATTCGGATTGGAAAGTCCTGCTCTTTCGTTGAGGAAATGGCTAGGTAACAACTAGCTCAACCTGGGGTAGACGTTTACAATTACCGTTTGGGTCATCGAGTTTACCCAGGGTCGTCAGCCGGATAGCGCAAGGAATTGAATTCACAGTCCTTCCTTCGATCGACCAGATAAGACAAGAAAGGCAAGGAAGTTTACCTGAGGTCCGAAACTGGCAAGGCATCTTCCTTTTGGAAATTGCTACAACCAAGCCACTGACTTCGGATCTTACCGACGAGAAAGCTAGGGATCCTCAAATCGAAGAGTTTCACGATTGTTGCCCGATAAGTGTAATATGTGTCTACGCCGTACTTAAAATATTTCTTAAAGAAGAGAAGAATATGTTATTTTCTTCTTCTCTCTTCTATAAGAGTGAAAGTCCCTCTGCGATTGATAACCGTTGTATAATTTAAATCGTTCCCCGTGTACCGTTCCAATCTTTTGTGTTTTAGTCCAGAGCAAATAGCATATATGATTCATGATTCGGAACTGGCTACTAGGAAAGACTCAGCATATAGATAGGAGTCAGATTCGGTAAAGAAACTAGCTACACAGGCCAATTTACGGTACACTGTACACAAACCCAATCTCGATTTCTAACATCGAAGTTGGAGAGAATTGATAGAGCTACCCTTCTTCAAAGGGTATATTAGAATAGAAGTAAAAGAACGAAAGTTCCAGATTTGGAGCTAAAAGAGGATGGGAAAAGGGGTTATGCCAAGGATCTTTCCAACTCCCTTCCGAAAGTGACTCCATGAAATGGCATAGATAGAAAGTCTAGATCAATCAGCTGTTGGAATACCCTAGTGGGGTCGCACTTTGCTTTCAAGTCCAGTACCAGGGTTGGGGTATTGAAAATTTTTTGTTTATACGGATTTTTGGGGGTGGAAAATCACCCATTTCTTTCTTTCCAGAAAACCTCAGTTTGTTAGTTTTATGATGATTCACCCACGTTTTTGAGTTTCCGACCGAGGGGAAACTTGGGGTTGATAACGTCGGTTTGGCATATATCAGATTTTGAGCGCTACTATTAGCCTGCCGTATCTACGTTTTCACCCGCTAGCTCTGATGTTTAACCAGGATCGTCAACAAAACTAGCCGCAAGATGCCAAGGGAGTTCGGTTTACCAGTTCGGTCGGGAAATAAAGATAGATGGGAAAAGGTAGAAATAGCTGGCTTTTTGAAGTGTAGAAAATGTTCCAACTAAGGACCCTCTATTTCTTCCAATAACGAATCACCCACAAGCCCTTCCTTTCGTTAGTTTAGAACTTCGAAGACGATACTATTAGCGCTTTCCTCCTGTGTCGACGATTTACAACATCTTTGAGTTTGATAGTTACGCGTCAGGAACAAACCGAGGAGGGAGACAACCCCATCTTACATAGATATATTGGGGAATTCCCTCTTTATGACTCGCTTTGAGGGATCTTGAGATTTGTCCTTCGCGATAGATCTACCTCGATCTTACCTCCATATATTGTGCACTTTACTAGAGCTTACTCCCTTTGCCTCTGATAGAGCGGTTACCCAGATCAGATCGACATTAGGAGAACATCCACAACCCTTTCTTACTTTGCGAGATATTAGCTCCTATTAGATTAGGGGATTGCTGATATTAATAATAGCGCGTGAGGGAGAGAGATTAAGATAAAGAGGGTTCACTCCTTACCGCTTTGAAGCAGATAAAAAGATCGAGACATTAGGAGAATACTCCCAGAAAAAGGGTTTACGAGTGAGTTGGGCGACTAATAGATGACTCTTTCGACACGCCATTAGGAGATACGAACCAACCAACTCCACTATTAGGAACATATTTCGACTTTCCGAATGAGCTATATTGAGGAACTTACTCTACCCAGCTCTGCCTCGGTCTTACTTAGCTAGAAAGGCATAACTACCTCTATTTACTGCAGTGTCCGTTCTCCTTCCTGAGGAAGGCCCACCTCTTCGACCACTTCTTACCCCACCTCATATATATATATTTGAACCCCTCGATCGCATATAGACAAAACTGGAGTTTCCTCTTTTTATGAGCATTTACCTATGAGCACCTCCAAACAAAGGTTTTGCTATGCAGGATTTTAAGAGGTTTATTGGAAGCTCCTCCAGTCCAGGAGTGCCCAAGAGCTAGACCATCTCCAGCATCTAGTTACGCGGGTGAGGAACAGATCGACAACTTATTTGGAAGGTATTTCCACTTCCTCTTCAGAGCTATTACTTAAACTTCCTAAGATAGATAAGATAGAGGGAGATTTTTATAGCTAACCCGACGACTCCTACACACTCCTATTTATAGATCGAGCTAATAGGAACTCGAGGAACTCGCTTCAGAACAAAATTCCCGAGATATGACTTTGGAATAGATAGGCTGACTTCCTGACTTCGGATAAGAGAGAAAAGGGAGGAAGAGGAGAAGGCGCGCGACAGGACAACCACTACTACTTAGTCCAGTTATTCCTCTCGCTTATATAACTATAATATCTGTAGTTAGGCAAGTCAGATGCTACACAAGCGATGGTTCGGTACCTGGATTGCCAACACTATTGACTATTTCGATAAACAACATCTTTCGCAGAGGGAGTTTGATTACTATTCCTAGAGAGGAAAGAATTCGCTAATTGTCTCAAGAGCTGGGGATATTCCAGGACTTCTGCTCACTAGCTACGATGTTTACCATCGGTCAGAAGCTGGGAAACCTGTCCAAGGGCCGGTACAAAGATAGAATAGCTGGGAAAACTCTTATTAGCGATTAGCGAGGCAAGGGTCTAGCTCCTCTTTCCTCTTAGTGTTAGGAAGTTTCAATTCCAGATTGGTTAGCGCCAGGATCTTGACAACTGAAGTTTCTAAAACCAAAACCTAAAGTAAGGACCCAACGAACGAAGCGAAGCGAAGTGAAGAAAAATTAGGAATCGCACTTGAAAGGAAAGTATCTGAGGGGTCAAATAGATTAGTCTAGAATTGGTGTACAGGGCCTCTCATTTCCAAACGCTGATTCACCCGCGAGACCTGCCAAACTAAGGTTTGAGATATAGAACATTTGAGACACTAGTCTTAGGGGATTCGGAAAGTACCTAACTTCTGAGGCTGGGGATAAACAGCTTTGCCGGGTTGGGTCAGATAAGGAAGGGCAGCCTGGAAAGGGATCCGAAGTTTACCCCAGGTCGTCAACAAACAAGCCTGAAGGGGATTGGGATTTGAACTCGAGCTCTGGACAGGTCCAACTGTGCTGTGAAAGAAATTTATGAAGTGCCTTATGATTAAGAAATGGCATAGATAGAGTCGATTTGATATCAGGAGTTGGAATGAATACCCTTTTTCGGGTTGAAAATAGAACAGCCGGGCGGTGAACCCCTAAAAGGGGTAGTACCAGAGATGGTCTGAAAATGGCTCCTCGATTTAAGTTTAGGAATGGGAGTGACTGCTTGGTCTAAAGTTGGAATACAGAGCAGCTGCCGGTGAAAGAGTAGGCACTTTCAAAGAAAGTCCAGTACTTTTTTAGTAGACTTTTCTAGAAGGGGTGAAAAAGGACCCCCCCAAGATCGCATATATGAGAAACTAGAGTTTCATCTTTTTATGACCAATCACCCACGAGGGGCCAACAACTGAGTCAATCCAGGATTTTTGGCCATGTAGTCCGCAAGGGCGATTCAAGTCCTTCGGTCGTAAGAGCGCAAAGGCAGCGTCCTCTTGGGTTGGGGAATGAATCAGGAGCTGAGGAGTAGATAGCGGGAGTTGGACCTCTGTCCTTCTGCCTTAGCCGGTTTCGGAATTGAATACTCACCATTTCTTGTTTGGAAATCTTTCCATCTCTGGTTTGTGGGTTGACCTTTGGTAGTAGAAGTGCCATAGGGGACTAGTAGTCCAGGGCCAAAAGAAGAAGACGAAGCAGCGGGTCCTCGTCCCGATTGCCGAGTTGAAACAGAGCCAAAGGAGTTGCGATTACCTGTCTGCTTTGGGAAACATGCTAAAGTAAAGACGAGCTGCGGAGTACAAACCTGGAGCCAAAGGATCTCCCTCGTCGTGTGATTCACCCTAATGCGGATCCAAGAGGCCCTATTCGTATTTCGATACTTCTCGTTTTGCCGGTCCTAAAGTCAAGAGCCAAGTGCCTTTTCTTTTGCGGGGTAGCAAGGATCAGATCTTTTCTTTTAGTATTGTCTTTCAGAGCCGACGAGTTCCTAGTGGATAAATCAGGAATACAGAAACAAAAACAGCAATTGGACCAGAGAATGCGATTGCATTATAAGGTCGCAATTGAACAGATCGAGCAAGCTCAAATTGACGTAACATTCAACTTATTAGTCCGAAAGCGCCATGCAGAGTAACAAAAGTCCACAGACCACCCAATTGACACCAACGAGTAAAATCTCCTTGTGCTTCAGGACCCCACAGTAATAATAAAGAATGCGCTAAACTATTAGCAGGAGTAGGCGGCTGTTAAGAAATTACAGCCTTCCAAATAGGCCAATGAAGGATGGATTTCTGAGTTGCAAATGCTCCAACTGATCTTTGGCATCAACCTCTTTTCTGAGAATCCCCCTTTATCCTTCTTTATGTTCTTGCAACCAAAAGAAGTTATGTTGTTAGAATAGAATGAAGCTATCTTGTTATCTAGCATTATGTTGCTTATGAGGCTTATCTGTTAACTGCCCCTGGGCTTTTGGAGGATAGTTTCTTTCACCGCCTTCCCCGGAATCAAGGTCTCACGATGAGCCAGAGCATGAAGCTCATTCACAATCCCCAGTGTCTCAAAGGCGACTGGCTGGAGCGGCTCACTTACCACCAACAAATCAACTGTAAACTTATTCTGAGACTTCGGAATGGAAAAGAGCAGAAAAGGGTTAGGCATAAGAAAGCAAAAGAAAGGGCATCGTTCTCGGCTGGCCGGACATTTGAGTCGGCGCTCTCCTCAACCGGATCAATTAGAGCTAGATATTTGAAACTTCCAAAGCATTAACTCAAAGGAGGCCTTTTCTCAATCTTCAATCTCTTAGAGCCGATGCTGCCACTGTAGATGATCCAAATGGGGACTCCTTTCTCTATGAAGCTGTTGGTTGATAGAACTCTGAGGTTCTGTGGTTAGGAGGTAGATCTTGTGCGAGCTAATGAATGCAAAGATGCATATCCACACCCGAGGTACGAGCCATTGTCCGGCTAGTCTCAAGGGATCGGCTTAGGACTCTAATCCTTCCGAAACTATATATCCTTCTGCCCGGTATGAAATCACTCTTGATATAGGTAAAGTACAAGAAGTCTCGTGGACGGAAGTAGATAGGACTGTGTTGACTGATCGGTACCTAGCGCCGCGGAATCAGAAATGAACAGAGCAGAGACAGCAGACGACGATGAAACTATCTCAAATACAAATCGTAGGGGCCCGCTTTCATTCTAGTTCAAAGCCCCGAAAGGAATTGATAGACCAATGTGGAATTCCCCTTGACTTCAAGCGAATAGTGCCTAGAAAAGGCCGATGAATCGATGTACCTCCCCTTAGGCTTGTAAATGGTAAATGATAAAGGGCGACTTGATCACACAAGGCCAATCGAATTCTTCGGTCGAAAGCCCCAAAACTGGCTATTTTATAGCAGACAACTACCGCAAGCCTACTCAACTCATTTCATCAGGTCCACTGCGACTATCCTGGTCACCTTTCCTTTAAAAGGTGGAACTGCTACCTTCCTATCTTCTTTTCTTCTTTCTTTTCTTGTTTTTATTTCCCTCTAAAGGGTGTCCTCCTATTGGGGTGGGAGTATTTCTTCTAGTCTTGGGTCCGGACACACAATTATCTTTTAAAAGATATCTTCGGCAGGCAAGTCTTTCATCCATTTCCTCATGGCAGATACCAGGAATCGGGTAGGCACAACCGCCAAAGTGGGCGCTTTCCACAATCGATAATCACGGCATATCCCGCGTCGATCCCTTCTTTCTATTTAAAAAAAGTAAGGAAGTCTCCTAGCACTAGACCACACCCCGGTAGCGTAGCAAGTGGTTCCATACTATAGTTTATCCGGCATAGCTTCTTTTGATCAAACTCTCATTCAGCGGCACAGGATTCCTCCATAGCCAGAGTCCCAGCAACGAACACCTTCCTACTGCAAGGTTAGGCTCTGCCCTTCCCCTAGAATCCACTCCGGGTCGGAGGAGCAGCTAGCTAGT